TTCATGACACGACAGCTCAACTGATATTTGATCCTAAGAGCTGGAACTTAGCCAAACGAAGTGTGGAATCAAATAGAATGCAAAGGCTTTTTTTTTATTTGTGTCCAGTCATTAATGACCGGTCAGAGACAGTCCCAGATCTTTCCTTAAGTGTCACTGAAATGCGTAGATGATTACCGACTGACCAGTTGACCTATGTTTCCTTGGAGCCAACGTGATCCCCTTTGAGGAGCCAATTTCCTTTTAAGCCCGGGACTAAGGGATATACCAAGCACGCGCCCTCAAGATTATCCACTGGGCTTAAGAGACTCTTTGCATAGCATTGTTGAACGGAGGATCGTGCCATGTTATTAACAATTTGAGAGGGATTGGAGGAGGCTTCAGCAAGCCGATTACAAGGGCACATTTTAGGGCAGAAGGGCCTGCGCATGGCGAAAAGAACACTTGTCTCGCCGAGGTCAAGGGTGCACACGCTCAACTCCCAAACCCATCTTGAAAAATGCTCAGCTGTCCAATTTCCTCAGGGTTCAATTAATAATGGTATGTGGGGGGGGGGGCTACACATTCTGGTTTGTTAAAAAGGCGCCTTTTTCACCATACCGAATGCATTTTTGTGAGTGAACTTTGATCCTTATTGCCAACATGTATTCGGAGCCCTTGAACAACTCAGAAGTTGAAATATTATTACATTTAATTTGTATCTGCTCATTGGTTGAATACCATACTTGACATTACTTTACCTTTTGCTCCGGTAATTTATAATTTTTTAGGTCAATTTATTCATGCGTGACTTTTCCATGGTGGTTTGCAGCAAATTTGCAATGTAATTATCGCTTGGGATGCTTTTCAAATTTACAAGAGAGCACACATTTTTTACAGGTTTGCTTCTCTTTATGCATGATCACAATGGCATTTATGCATGAGTCACCTTTCAAATTTACAGAAAACAAAAACTGCAATTAGTTGTTTTCATGTTCGAATGCTAAGCTTGCCAATTGATGTACCACTGTCGTGGCCGTAAATTAAAACTGTTAGCATGTATGCCATTCATTATGCATACTGCACGGTTTGCCTCAATCCCATCTCTGCTTGTGAATAATATTTGTAAAAAAAAAACTACCGTATTTGGCATGAACACTGCCACACAAACAGAAAACTAAATCAAAGCGAAAATATTGGCAACGGTTCGTGGCTGTACATGACTGTCGTTGCAGTCCCTTAAATACTTTTTTTCAAAGCGTATTAATGTTTGAAAATATTATGAAACTACAATATCTGCTGTCACATGAATTTTTGAGAAAAGAAGAATTTTCAAGCGATGTAAATGGTCAATTTTGATCCAATTATAAAGTACTAGAGGGAGGTACCCGGCGTTGCCTGGGCGAAAAAGTCAGACACACACATCGACCTACATACACTTACAGACATTGACCCACACACACATAGACATCGACTTACACACACACACATATGGACTCACACATACAGACATCGACTTTAGATACACACCCATGGAGTTACACACACACATCGACTCACACACAAACATCGACTGACACACACATACACATCGACTCACACACACATGCACGTACAGACACACGAAGAAATGGACTAAGACGCTCACATGGAGACACACACACATCGACTCACGCACACATCGACTCACACACACAGACACATCGACTGACACGCACATATGTACTTAGGCCGACATAAATATTAAGAAATGTACTATTTTAATTGTAAAATCTTAGTTGTCTACGCACACACCAAACACGCACCCACATTGACTGACACACACACATGAACTCACACACACAGACACGTCGACTCACACACACACACATATCGACGCAGACACACATAATTATTTAAAATTGAAGTAACCTAATTGTTAAATATTAGTTGTGTCCACACACACCATGCACACACATTGACTAACACACACACAGCGACTGACACACAGATATAAAAACTCATGCACACACACATCGAGTCGCACGCACACTGACTGATACACACACGGACGTAGACACACACACATGGTGGCAGACACGCACATAAGGACTTAGACACAATAAAAAAAAATTTATATTGACCAAGTAAATTTTGAAATCTTAGTTGTCAGGAGCACAAACATTATTAATGTAATATTTGCAGGGTGATTCTTTAAAATGCAGGTTTCTGTCAACGTTATTTGACACAATAATAAGAATATTAAAAATGACCAAGGTATTGAAAGAATATGAGTTGTGAGCACACAAAAATCAATGTTTTTATATTTTGATGGAGATTATTAAAATAACAGGATTTAATGTATGTGAGTTTAGCGAAAGAAGCAAGAAAGAGACAAATTAGTTGTTTGCGCACACACAGTACTAATGTAATATTAACAAGGTGGTTATAGAAAAAAGTTTTCTATAATGGTGAGTTGAGAAATAATAATTATAATAATAATGAGAAAGTGCTTCTTAAACGATTTGTTGTGAGCAGGCAAACAAAAATAGTAGTCTGCACACAAACACAGTTAATGTAATATTAGCAAGGTGATTATGAAAAAAACTGGGTTTCTATCAAGGTGAGGTTAGGGAAAGTAGAAAGGAAATGGTAGTTAACATTGCCGTGGTGAGGCCTAGTCCTCTGCAGATCCCCGTCATCGCCTAGAGCACGCAGCCGGCCGAGGTGTCACCTTGGCAGGCTGGGGGCTGGGCCACTCCCTCCGGCCATAATATCTAGGGGCTCTATAGTAGTAACAGGACGCAATGGGGTGGGGTTGGGAGAAGAGGACATCACACTGTGAAAAAATAACCTCAGCGTTTTGTGTTTTAGTTGCATGTTTAACGCGAATGAAAATTTGTGCCGATCGTGTGTGCGTTGCTAGGGGCAACCACTGTCAGTAGTGCAAAGTGTAATTTAATAATAATAGTAATTGCACACATTGGGGTGGGGGGGGGGGGGAGTGAAGAGGACGTGAAACTTTGATGAATTTACCTCAGAGTCGCGTGTTAATGCGTGCGCATATTTTTAACGGGAATTAAAAATGGCGTCCACCCCGCAGCGAATGCGTCGCTACCCGTTGCCAGGGGCAACCGCCGTGGAAAACCAAACGGACCAATCGTGTCTCGCAAATCCCTCACATTTCGTCCAATGAAACTGCGTATGGTCCGGCGACACACAGACAGACAGACACACACACAGACAGACAGACAGACAGATTTGCGATTTTATATATATAGACGTACGCGACTTACCTTGTAGAGTGTGCAGGCGAATACAAAAGGTCGCACACCTCCGCCGATAGTGCGTTGCTAGGGGCTAACTTGATGAGCGTTGTGCGCATGCGCAGCTTGCTGCGTTGTCCCGCCCGGAGCGGTGAAGGAAAATAAATAAATAATGGTGCAACTAAATCACTAAAGAGAATCGGTAAAAAACGCTATTTAAACTTATTTAAAGGTGACGGACGGGAAAAGGAAAATAGTGCTTGCCCATCGCGGGGCTGACGCCGTGGTACCTGGCTAATTATTTTCACATAAACCCCACCGTTGGAGAGCCAAATCCCTTGCAAGCGCGCATGCGCAGACAGACAAACAAAAAATGAATTTTATAGGTAGGATTTTAAATGACGAACGTTTGATCTGGTAATTATTTTATTGTGAGGGCGTCATTATCGTTGGTTAGTGGCATATAAACCTTGTGACACAGTCACACGTAAAAAGCACAAGTCATAAATGTGAACGACGATGAGCAATTTGTAAATAATAGTCATTCACAAATCACCGCATTTTATCAGTTATCGAAGAGCCAACAATAGTTACCCTCGACTCACAGAATCACGAAACAATAGTTACCCTCGACTCACAGAATTCTAGAACAACAGTTAACCTCTACTCAAACTTACAAAACAAGTTACCCTCGACTCAGAATTACAGAACAGTTACCCTGACTCACAGAATTACAGAACAATAGTTACTCTCGACTCACACAACAACGATAGTTACCCTCGACTCACCGAATTGCAGAATAAGTTACCCTCGTCTCACAAAATTCGGTGGCTTTTTGAGAAACCAAACCAAGGTCAAGGTGAAGAGCCCATAAAGGTGCCTCCACGACTCCCAGAAGCAAACAAAATGGCACTGATGTGGACACAATTAAGTGATATAATACAAGAAAGAACATCCGACATACGGCATATATTTAATTCCTCAATAATGACTTAACCGTATTCCCCTTCTTGTAAAAAGTGAACTGTGCTTGTAGGTTGTCCGTGCGGGTGGCCTGATTGGTTCAGATAGCATCGACGTCACAGTCTATCCCCCCCCCCCCCTGCTTCGATTGTGGCCGTCCCTTCACAGCGTGCCCCGGGCTCCTCATGTTTGCCGATATCCATCGTCAATGTGTCTGTGCATGCACTTATAACGACGTTCTGTTTTGTGTTCTGCCCAAACCATTCTGGATTTTTGGTCTTGGAAAATGCTTCGTTAATATTTAATGTTCAAAAGGCAAATAATAGTTCCCCTGTTGCATTGTTATTTTGAACTCCTTGGCCGAGGATAACAATGTAGCGGCATTGCGTGAGCGGAATCAACTGTAGTCGTTTTCAACAGCAAAGCAGGCGGCTGAAAAACATCCGTGTTATGACTACCCGCATTGTACAGGGACATGTCTCTGTGTGTGTCTCTGTGTCCCCGTATTTATGTGTCCGTGTCTGTGTGATTGTCTCCGTGTCTCCATGTCTCTGTGTGTGTCCGTGTCTCTGTGTGTCTCCGTGTCTTTGTGTCTGTGTCTCTACGTATGTGTGTCTCTGTCTCCGTGTCTGTGTGTCTCTGTGTGCGTCTTCGCGTCTGATGTCTCAACTGCGCGTGCGCGACCCACGGGAATTGAGAGGGCCGGGGGTGGGGGTTGACGGCTGTCTGCTGCCGTATTGCGCATGCGCGACAAATTGAGAGGGGCGGTTGGGGGGTGGTCGCCGAATGTGGGGGAGGGGGGGACTGGATCGGCCACGGAGCAGCCGAGGACTCGGAGGGGGCACGGCCAGTCCACCACCACACACCCGTTACAAACGCAACCTTTCAACGAAATTATCTCAATCATCAGCCATCTAACTGCATATGTGTGTGTTCGTTCGCGGGACATGGCTCGATATCCACGGTGTCGTGAGCCACGCTATTTGGGGGCTTTGACAGTTGTTAGCAGGTGTGGTGTTAATGATCGAAGGGCTGGAGCAAAAAAAAGGACGGCCGACAGTTGCATCACATGTTGTATTGATGCACCCACCCATCATCGGTATCTTGCAGACACTTGCTGTTGCCCTACTGCTGAGTTTACACATCAAGGGCTGCGCATAGATGTCACAGTGACATGAAAGCAAAGCGTGTTGTTGGTAAAGACTCATTTTAGTGAATTAGTTCGCATCCGCTGCCTCGGAGAAAAATATGAATGGTTCAGCACCCCTCTCGTTGAACCATCATTACCCGTGCTCTCGCGATTAAAACGTTTAATTTCACAACATTCGATAATGTGCTTGCAACTGTTAAAGACATTAACCTTTTTCATTGTATGTGCCCCACGCAGGGATTCACACTTCATTAGCCCGTCCCAAGAGGCAACCCTCAATGGATTAGCAAAAGGGAAAAAAAATCCAAACCATCACTCCGCTCTCCTCGACGACCAGCCACAGCACCGCCCCAGCTGCTGTGGGTAATATCTAATCAGCGCACTTGTGAAGACTCTAATTCATGTTCATTCAAAATGACGCGCTTATGCCTCGTGGGAGCCGGAGGCGCTGCACAACCGCACTAATCAGTACCATAACATTCGCATTCATCGAATCACCGGGATCCTGTCTGTTATGAAATCAATCCCAAAGGATAGCCACAGGTTGGTGCGACCTGCTGAATTAAGCCTTGAAAATGGATGGATTTTTGTTTTAAATATAGACAAGCTTATTTATACAGGAACCGCATCACCGTTGGAGGCCCTGATTTAATGCTCGCTTTTAAATTGAGAAATATTGCACCCCCCAATCCTCTGTGGAATTAGAAGATGGCGATAGCTGTAATGGAGGACGTGTTTGAAATTACAAAGAAGCTATTCAGATGTTCACTTTCCTTGAGAATTAGTTTACAATTCCATTTGACAATCGCCATATTAGAAATAAAATTGGTATTTCAGAGGCACATTTTCCCCCATACACTAATGGCATTCTTGTACATGGCCGGTTTATTGAAAGGATGGAGTGACAATACATGCTCTGGAGAACCCATTTGAGAAAAAAATAAAATTCTGGTAGAAATCGACTGTCTCACCGACAGAAAAAAACTGTTTCCAATTATAGACAAATGCAGAACGCCTGGAAACAGACAACTCAATTCCCAGAGCCAGCCATCTCATTCTCATCTACAAAGGCAACTAAGCCCCCTCAGGAATTTTGCCACATTATAGAATGTTCAACACTCTGTGTACAGACATTAGAATTGCATCGCGAAAACAGATTGTTATAGGACGATGTTCCACTCATCATCCTCTCCATTCTTACCCCCTAAGCTAAACCACACTGATTGGACATACTTCCAAACATCTTGACTCATTCGCAAATACGTGAACCACGTAAGTCCTTAAACCAACCTGCCCATCCATTCACTAAGAATATAAACTTATTAAACTCTGTTTCTGTAACACTGCTGCTCACTATGACTACTGGCTACAGCCTATAAGCATCCATCTAGCTGAGAAATTATTGCACTTTGTGGGCTTGTGTCGAGATGCCCTGTAATATGCCCTGCATTTTATGAACCGGGAGCGTGCACCATATATTTATGTGTTCGACTTCGGTGTGATGTTCATGGTCGCTGCTTTGGCTGTCTTGTTCCCGTTCTTGAAGCTGTACAAATGTATTTTACTTTGTATGAATGTGTAGTGGCGTTAACTACTCGCTGTTCGCAAACTTTGAGAGCAGATCGTAAACAAGGTTTTCCCGCTCCAATCAAACGGTCAGGGTCAAATGGGGTGAGGTAGTATCCAAACGCCAGATTGGGAAGGACCAATCAGGGTCTCACAAGGTGGCCGGGGATTGGACAACCCGGCCACGAACAGGTATAAAAGCCAGAGCGCTGAGAGCTCTGGAGGAGTTCTGCTACACAAAGACCCAAGTCGGCCGAAGACGTCTAGGACCCTGGACCAAGCCCTCCAGCCCTTATCAGGGCTAGGGCTCAGAGTAACCAGTGGTCGGGGAGAGATCCCCTAGGTCTAGCCAGAGGATGCTGGGAGAGCAGGGAGATTAGATAGCCTGCAAGGTCCGGAGGCTTGTACCTTCTGAGGGTAACGGGTGAGGGGACCATATACCCCTTAGTGTGATAGGGACTGTGTATTAAGATAATAAACAGTGTGTGCCATAAAGAAGTTTAGAAGTCCGTCCTTACAACACTACAAATGTATAATGCATGTTGTAGATTTAAAAATGCTTGTACCCCTGTCATTACGTGCGTGCCATGTATGGGTCACTTGTCAGTGGGACACCCTTGCAAATGGCGCGTTCCTTTGGATGGGTATTATGCAGGTGAATTATTTTAATCAATGATTAAAAGTAAGTGCAAGGGGCATAATATATGTTGGCATGCGAACCCCAGTCCAGTAAAAAGTGTGTCACTGAAAAAGGTCGCACACAGATAACGATATGGGAATGTGTGTTGTTTTAACAATGTTTATTCATTGCTCACAAAGTACAAATTGCTACAGTGAACCTCTCGTGTTTCATATGAACAGTTCTACAAATAATGTTTAAATATTTCACATTTGCTTTCTTTTGGGGAAGTTGTTGTGTTTATCATATTGAGTTGGGCGTTGCAGCCCTGTGATGACTTGGCTCACGACATTGTTGGTGATAAACTTTGCCTGGCCAGGCGTCTTGGAAGAGGATGTTAAATACACTCAAATTGATATCAACACATACAAAAACGAATTCACATGAACTTAAGTCGACATACAGAGAGTTTTTTTTTGTGCGGATATTGAAATGGGGAGGATTTGGATTATGTGGCGACGATGCAGATGCAAGAGGAAATCTCACAAGCAGCGCATTTCTGAAGCCACTGCAAAACCTTAATTTCAGAAAACGTAAAACAATTTTCAATATTCATGAGGCAATTCAGGCTGACCTTTTCATTTATTTTATTATATATATATTTAAGAGGGCTCTAACAAGTAGGTGAAAGTGGTTTCACATGGAATTAAATTGATAAATTCTGGCTGGGTTGGCACTTATAAGGGATGTGAATAATACGGAGCTTCCTGCGGCATGGCAGATTAATCAGCGCCATTTGGCCCACACGCAACACAAATGATTCCCGGTGGAAGGCTCCGCGTGAATCTACAATGACGCTCGAGCATTGCGAGCATCCTTGATGTGGTGTCTTCAACGGGACGGGCGACTGCACAAATTATACAGGTGGTCCACCGGGGAACGCTTGTGTCTTGCAGCAAGAATACCCTGGGTTCGATTCCCTACCTGGGTGCTTTTCTGTGTGGAGTTTGTATGTTCTCATTTCTTTGTTGCACGGGGATTTCCTATGGGTTCCCTCATTTCCTCCCATAGCTAAACAAATAATGCAATGTAATTGGTGTTGGCTATATATCCCAATGCTGAAAAAGAATGACCTGCAATTTACTCAATTTTAAATATATCCAGAATTATTTATTTCCCGAACAAAAAACATATTTAGATTTTGTTTTGCCGAAACAATTGTTTTTGATTAAGGACCATTGTTCAAAGAAAAATCCCACACGATGTTCATGGTATTGGCAAAATATACAAATTTTGAAACATCTCTGCAAATTACTTCACTGGGATTACACACAGCAGCAAGCAACATCACGCCCAACTGTGAAAACTTGGCAGGATCCTCCTGAAGGGTATTATAGTCAGTGAGGCTTTTCTGGGTAAACAAAACGCGATAATAAAGTAACAATACACCATATATGAGTCAACCACATCGCTTATTGTGGCTTCTTTGCATGGCTCTCTGATGTGTTTTCTGGTTGTACCATGTGTTGTAGGGGCGCCACGGTGGCGAGATGTGAACTACCTCGTCTCGTGTGCAGGAAGTCGTCGGTTCGAGCCCGACCCTTGACACGTGCTGTATAAAGAGTTTCAATGTCCTCCAGGTTCTCTGGTTTTTACCTCCACATTTAGAAACATGCGTTTAGAGTATTTGTCTGCTAGTAAATTTCCACGCGATAAACCGCTTAATTAGGCTATAATCTGTGGCCAGGTTGCTTCTGAAAAAGAGCTATTTAGTTTAGTGGGCCTTAACCTGATAAAATTAAAAATAGTTTATAGCTCGGCACAATGTGTCACATTTCAATCCACGTGTTTGGGAGCTTCAGCATGAGGAGCACAACATGGGGCATCATGCCGAGCAACACAGGGCACAGCCCCAAAACATAACAATGCATGAGCCCGAACGGTTGTGAACTTACGCTGTACAGGATATATCTTTCTAAATGAGAATTTAAAAAATTAACCCGTAAAAACTAATTTTTCAAATCCTTTATATGCGTGGCATCGGTTTTATTTTATTATTCATTTCTGTTTTTCTTGAGTAAGAGTTTCATTTTTATCACATTGGTATTTTAAATTAAATATAAGGAAAGTCGTATATAAGGATTATAAGGTTTTCAGTTTTTGTATGATTGTTTATATTGTACATTTTTGTTGTTTTCTTGAATAATTTTCCTGTGTTTAGGAAAAATATATGATTGTGTTAGTGAAATTTTTTTTCCCTAAAAAGTGGAAAATTTTGGAAAAAAATTTTCACGAAAATAAATTGTCACGCACAACGAGTCTGTGTGCAAAATGTCAGCTCGATTGGATCACGGGAAGTGGGTTAAAACACGACCGAAAGATTTGCACGGTCGTAAGCGCGCAAGCAAGCAAGCAAGTGAACTTAATATAAAGGATTTAATAAGCCCCGTGTCTGAAAAACATATACAGTCTGTTCTCTTGTAACGCGTGTTTTCGTAACGCGTGTTTTCGTAACGCAAATTTGATATAACGTGATGGATGTATTCGAGAACACATTTTTTATAACAAGGATGCGAATTAGATACAACGCGATTGAGTGAACGGAACTACGTCGCAGCGCGTGCCGGACGGAGTAAGCGGTTGTACGGCTGCCACAGCGTAGCATCATCACACAAGGTATTGGGATGCTGCTGGATGCTTCTAAACGCTACCCACGCGCCTCACTCTTTGTTCAGCCTGCGTATGCATCTCACGTGTTGTCGCGGACTGGGCTTCACCCTGCATTATATATTATTTATGATTACACGATTTTTCCATAACGCGGTGTTCTTCAGGAACACAACTACGACCTCGTTATAGGAGAACACACTGTAATGAGGAAACTTGGACTCAACACCTCCACCGTTGGTTGTTTTTTAGGCTTTGGGGGTTGGGGAGTATAGCGGTGGACTGCACTGCGCTCTCAATCTGATGACCTCAATTTGAGTCCTGGGTCATGGTACAAATCAGGAACGTGTGATATTTAAATCGGCCGTGGGAAAAACATGTTCACCTTCCTGCACTGACCAGTGCAGTGAAGTACAGTCACAAACCCCCTACGACTGAGCAAAAGGCTTGGCGAGGCCTCCATGCAGCAGTGGAAGAACACATGGCTGTACATTTAGGCTTTTAATTAATTTTAGGACTCCATAAAAATGCAACATAAAGTTCTAGGGCGTATAGCAGCATCTTCCATCACACTTACTTAGAAGTGTTGTTGTAAAGTAATTTGCCAAATGAGTACGGCCACTTAGGCAATAGTTGCCATGAGCTGAAATGTTCTTCACGTCATGCAGGTTTTGTTTATTCTCTGAGTAAAGGTTTCTGAAATATGCGACGAGTAATTTTCCCTGTGAAACTGCGTTTCATTTTCTAGCAGACATGGCAAAATTGAAGAAAAATGTCCAGCGATACGAAAGACCTGCGACGTGTGTGTGTCTTTGTCGTTTGTGTTGCGTTCGGCAGCGGAGCGGTCAGCGCCACGCTGCGCTTCGAACCCGCCTACCCGAGTTCGATTCCCGCTCACGGTCAACAGCAGTGACGATTATTTGAACCGATCCTGGACCTCCCCTAGGTCGACTCAGCCTCAAATGAGTACCTGGTGGAGTGTGTTAACATAGCCACTAGGGAGACAAAGGCGGCCGGGCGTGGTGCTGGCCACCCACCCCCTGGTGTGCCGTGCCGGCCTTCGTAGGTGCTCGCTAATAGCACTTGCCCTCACAGTCTATTAGGGCTATACGGGGGAGCTTTGTTCCGTTCAGGCTCACCAGCAGTTGGCCAGATTGAAATGCGCAAGCCGTTGTGCCAAACAGCTTAACAGTCGGCCTTTAGAAGTGAGAGCCGACTTTGGCTTCCTCTGCGAGCAATCAGTATTCATAAACGAATGGCTCTGTTGGCACGAGGGGATGTCGAAGCCAACTTCCTGTAAAAGCGAGCGTTGCTTTGTCCCCACTGGCGAATGTGAGTGCGAAGGCCGCTGTGGCACGTACAGGTGCGAAGGCCGCTGTGGCACGTACAGGTGCGAAGGCCGCTGTGGCACGTACAGGTGCGAAGGCCGCTGTGGCACGTACAGGTGCGAAGCGAGACCTCTCTATCCCCCACCCACCCTTTACTCGGAATCAGGCAGAGAGAGAAGCACGTTTTCCTCTTCAAAAATAATATTTGCAACGAACTGAAAATGATATCGTTACTGTAAATATGCAGATATATTATTTTGCTCTAAACTAATTGTTCAAAAACGTTGCGACACAACGACACATGTCCTCACGACGACGAAACTGACGGGACACTAAGATGACATAATTCCTTAACGAGACCTAAATGTATGCTGTAATGCCCAAATGAATCGGGAGCTATGGCACAGAAACGTGCAGCAGCAACGGAAGATATACATATAATGCGACACGAGTACACACACAATGAGAGTAATTAGCAGGAAAGAATAAGTTGATTATAAAAGGCGTGGAGTAGTGGCATAGTGGTTCACACACCCACTGCACAGTGAACCTGGTGACCTGCATTTGATGCCGGGCCGCAGATAAAATCAGCTGTGAGTGATATCTGAGCCAGTCCTGGACCACACCTTCACCAACCCACACTATCCAGTGTGGTGAAGTATGGTCAAATGAGATCCTTCACCAAGGGCTGGAAATTATTATTATTATTTACACGAAGCTCTAACCATGTTTATCACTTTATATTCTACTCTTCAGTCTAACCAATATGGGTATGTCATCATGTCAGGACAGAAAAATGTTCCCTGAAGCTGAAACCTATCTATAGAAGCGGATCTTTTCCCCAAGAGGCAAGGCAAATATTTCATCTCAGTGCTAATGCTGTGGTTTAGTATACGGTACAGTAATTTGTTTTATTTTATGGCATTGCCTCGAAAATGTAATCAAGCTGGCAATATGAGGTGGATTACGCAATAATTTAACTCATCCGTATTTCATTAATAGATTACAAATATGAACAAACAAATATTAATTATGTTCACCCTAGTGCTCTTCAGTTCATGAAAACTATCACCTGACCTCACAGTTAAAAACAATAATAACTGTAAGCCGTTCACAAGGCGCCTTCGCAAAGTTTCCGTGTGGGGAAAAAAAAAACCACAGAACACTTGATGGAACATATCTTCATAACAAATCCTAGCACTAAGAAAATATATTATGCACTGTTAGCCACATACAAATCTGAAGGGAAACAATGTAAGCTAATGTATCCTGTAAATGTCCACAACTAAATCTGAAGTTAAACGGTGCTAACTTCCCTCACGTAACTTTGCTGCTTTCTTTAAACATTGAGTAACGCCTCGTGTCGTTGCACGCTACAAGGGAATTTCCTCTGTTTGGCAACACAATTGCACATTACTGAGCTATTGCACTCAATCGTGGCTCATTGAAATCATTCAGTAATCACCAGCATCAGCCGTGATGAATCCACTGCTGGATGAATGCCTCCTCAAGCCACTGCCATCTCACATGACCTTGCTATACAAATTTCCACTATGTACCTGCACACAAACTAAATTAACCCATTCCGTTGCTCCGTGTCCTCTCTTCTTCTCAATTCACACGCAGTGCATACGGGTTAGATAGACCTGAGATGTATCAATCCTGTATCCTCCAATCTTTGCTGACCAGCCCATACTTTGCTGACTCGCCTCTACTGGACATCTGCGAAAAAGAGCTTCATAGCTCATCGGATTCCGACTGTCTAAATAAAGATTCTGATTCTGATTCCTCGACAGCCTGGCCCAAGGAGCTCACTTTAACCAGGTAGATATGTAAGCAATACAATGTGCCTACTTTCCTATGAATAACTAAACAAATAGGTATTGCAATATAAATTGTTCTGCCACATGGCAGGTATGGGGGTGTTGGTTACACAGGAACTTCCTGATATGGTGTTGAGTTTGGTCACGTGACCAGGAAGTTACGATTTAACATTCTCTAAGCCATGAGGCAGGGTGTCAGCCATTACACAAAGTACAAAATGGAGGTACAAATAGCGTCTCATTGAAAAGAGGTCATTGTGTTTATGTTCTTATAATACTGGGAATGCTGGTTTAATGTTAGGATTGCCGTTATAATGCTGTTAAATTGTTGTGATAAATATGAGGCCTAGTTAACAACGAAGCCTGCCACTTGCATTATTGTGAATGTTACTTGTAATTGAATAAGTCGAGTCAGACTTGTGCCCATGTAACTTTAATGCGATCTTTAGAGCAAGGATGAAGAAGTATCTCATCCACAGTTCAGTGTTATGTGCAGCGCTGTACGTTTGGGCTACAGTATGGTGATTACACGAAGTGACCTTATTAAACACAGTAGCTTATTCTCTTGTGTAGCTATTCAGTGCTAATGTAGGTTCCTGGTCCATCCAGGACGTATTGTTGAGTTTCATGTTATCTAAGACAATGTTATGATGCTCCTTGTGTTCATTCATTGTATCGATACTGGAAGTATTAACAGATGCTGTATTTTGTGCTGTGTTTTTCCATCAGTTTTACCTCATTCAATTAGTTAAGTCGGAGTCGGATATTCATCTTGGCTCTGAACGTTTAATGAACGTGAGGTTCACTACTCGGATAGTGGTGCAACGCAGCGCACAGCAAGGCCGAGACATATGTACTTTTAAGTGAACAAGGTGAAAATAACAAAATATTTGCAAATAACCAAGTTCAGTATTTTGTTGAATAAGTAGAAAGAGAGGTAGATGCATTTCTACTCTTTAAAAATATCAATAAGAGAGTAAACCACAATTAACAAACAAAAAACATACCAAGTTTGTTTGCCTTCACATAAAATGATGACCCATGTTCCCTCACACATTCCATTTGTTGCATATAAAAAAACTCCTTTTGTCCACGGCCATATTAGCCGAGACTGACATTAGGGGCCGTCCATAAATGACGTCACGCTATTTTGGCCGATTTTTGACCCCCCCCCCCATCCCCCCTTCGTCACACGGCGTCACAAAAAGACAGACCCCCTCAAACATGACGTCACAAAGCTCTGCCCCCCCCCCCCCCAAAGCCATATTTCCATTTTGAAAATGAAACTTGCTTCAAATCACTTTAAACTATTGTCATTGTAGTGCGTATTTAATGTGCCGCTACATTTTGATGTTGTAGGAGAAAACATTTATTTAAAAAGAGGCATTGGAAAGCTGAAATTTAGCATAAAATGCACTTGAAAATATTCAACGTCTAACTAAAACTGCATATGTTCAGAATATTATATTGAAATTATCTTAAAATTATAAAATATTAAAAGTATTATAACTATTAAAAAAATACTTGAAACTTCGTAGTAGAACGAAAAAAAATGGAGAGTACAATTATTCCACAGAATGAAAAGCCCTGGTAGAATCATTAGAATCAAAATGTCTATTAACAATCATTCAAAAAAATTACTAAATTTATGCTTCTCCATTGTCCCATGGAGAAGCAAAATGCTCCATCATGGAATAAATAAAAGGTGACCTTAGTAAATTTAAATATATTAGATAGGAATTTATCTAAATTAGTGTTGTTATAACAATTCTATTTCATTAAGTTTATTTAAAGTTTCGCATTTTGAAGTGATGTCACATTTATCAAACCCCCCCTCTCTTCCCTAGGTGCGTGATGTCATTTATGGACGACCCCCTATTTGCGGCAGCTGTCAGGTCTGTGAAAACTCCTGTTATTTGTGTCCTTATTCTTCCCATTATATGTAACTTTTCCCATGAGTCTTTATGGAATGGCATCCTATTATCCGTAATTTTTTTTAAATAACAGGAGTCACGTGGCCATACATACAATTATATTCTTTGGTTCTTTCTGTGACTTTACCGAAAGAACCAAAGAGTATGAATTCCTGCAGTCACGAAAGCTTCAAATCAAGAATGCGTACAATTGTCTGTGGGGTTATCCGTCACTTATTTTTTACCCCATAGTAAAATCGCGGATAACCCTGTGGGTAATAGGATCAATATTGGTCCCCATGCCACCTGTGGGTAATAGGATCAATATTGGTCCCCATGTCACCGCTAATGACAGAAGTTCTCCTCTGCAACAATAATATATTTAACCTTCATTTCGCGAGATTTACATTGCAGATAAATTCACAACAATATTCCCCTCGCCTTGCAGCCCATGATAAATGGAGCAACGTTAACAAAGTGATTGTAAATATCTTAACATTATGCACAATAGTAGATGCATATTCTTGATCAGTGCTGATATATAGTCCAGCTTAATCCAACCATAACTGAGATTTTATTTGCTATGAAGAAGGGCCATTCCCCGGAATGTCACCTATTATATATGTCCCCTCTTCAGGCAGGGGTATTGATAAATGTGTTGAGTTTTTCATAACCAACATGGCACAAATGCGAGCGCACATTGTGCACATAAGCGAGGCTGATGGAAACACACACAAGCATTACAAATATAATTGTGACACAGTGACTATGTGTATTGAATAGCAAGCAATAATACACCAAAGCTAGTAGATGGGCAGGTTGCGTGTGGTCTCCTGATTCAGTGTGGAAGAGTAGGCCAGATACGCTTTATGATGGGAATTCCTCTAGAGCAGTGGTTCTTAACCTTTATTGCAGCCTTGCACACCCTTTGGTTCTCAACCGCAAAAAAAAATATGTTAAGAAATACAGAGGGGTTTGATGAAACAAAGTAGTTGGACTTACGTGCCCGTGCTTAATTTGTCTTTCGATGATTTACCTTCTAAACAAATCTGGCCAAGTCTCGCATCCCCAGAAAGGGCATCTCGCACCACCCCTAGAGGGTGGTGCACTCCAGGTTAAGAACCACTGCTCGACAGTCTAGAGGAGGCCATTCCGCCAGAAGTGGCATTAGCAGCCCTGCACCTTTAACCTTTGAAAAGTAAGCACGCGTTCAAAAGGCCAGGCCTTGACCAATATATAAAAAGGCATACGTAAAAAAAATCCTTATTAAAATGTTTTGAAAACCCAAAATATATACAGCAAACAATGTGAATAAATGCAGCGTGCATCCGCGTGAACACCGATGTTTCCTGCATCGGGGGAATTTTCTCAAAATGCGGTGTGCACATTGCGTGGCTTTAATTGTGCCAAAAGGGAATGAATCATGTCGAACTAAAGGCCGGATGTTACGAGCACTCATGGGTATAAAGGAAGTGGGATCTAGGCCCGTAATTTAAGGGCTCATTAGGACGCAGAGACAACCTGTTCACTTTCTGGGAATGGGATTGGTGTAGCCAGGAACCATTTGGAATTACCCCTTTGCACTCAAATTGCCATTTAACTGCTTTCTCAGCTCTTTAAAAAGGCGGTGGCAGGGCCGTTTAATGTGCACTGTTGCTCAAATGTGGATGCATACACGTCATTTCCTTTCGTAATGAGTCACCACGGCTGTTTCAAAGAGGATCTGTAAGAAGTGTAGGAATAAATGTTGTTCCGGAATTACTTAAAAATTGCATATTTTTTAAATTAATATTCATGCTCTGTGTAAAAGTAATCATATTAAACAATAACTTAAATAAAATAAAAAGCTTCTGTTCCAAGTATACCAGGAGCAGTAACGAAAAAAATATATATTTAAAAAATCACAACAGCTGCAAACTATGCGTTTGGTATGTATGGCATGACAGCCAGTCACAATATTACTTTCATACAAGCTTTTTGTCCCGTGAAATGTGGTTATCTGTGACACTATAAAGATATGTGAAGGCTTAACGTTTTAAATATCTGAAACAGTTCATTCAGAGCCATGGCAATGTGCCCATGGCAAGGTGACTTAAGAGCTTGTTTATTTTGTCTTTTTATCTTTTTTAAGGAGCTTCAACCTCAATCCAAAACAGCAAATGTGGCCTGAGGGCTGAAGATAAATGTTGAGGTGAAAATGTGAGTCGCAGTGAAACAAATTTCCCTTACATTTAATCACTTTTAGTTACGGGGGGAATGTAATAGTATGCACAGCAACTACAGCACATATCACATGGTCCAAAAGTGTGTTGCCATGTGACAATTGTTTGGCTAAAAGTTTTAGGATGTTTAACCTGACCTTCTAAGTCCTCAAAAAGGAAACAACTGTTAAAATAGCTTTCCAAATGTCTAGCGATATGCCTCTGGCAAGATAAAATTATTACACAGCAATTTTTTGTATGAACACCCATTGTGAAATGGATTTTTGAACTCATTTTTTTCTTGGTATTATATACACGGTACTACAAATATTTTTTAGCCTATTGTATGTTGACATCATTTGCATTGAAAGATAAAAATATATTATAAACATTCAATAAAACATAACCAACGTCCTATAACATAACATTTCAATTATAGGAAACCATGTTTTTCATTGCAACAACCTGCATATAATTTGATTTTTCCCACTCAAAAGTATTCAAAGGCTGTTTTGCAAGCTAGCCCGGGACATTATTTTTCGTCTCAAGTGATACAATTTGTTATGCAGCGTGTGTACGGAGGAGGGCTCCGTCTTTATAATGCTCAGTTGCAAAAGAAATTTAGAACAGAAATTGTATCGCATCTCCCTCAAAATGATATTCGAAATTTGATGCAAGAAGACTGCTTAAAAACGCAAAGGTTGTAAATTGAATTCCACCACAGCTAACTATAACTGACATAATTCAGACCAGGAGAGAGATATCGCGTGACCCTTAAAATTAATGTGTCAAAAGCATCTGAATTAAAAACAACTATACCACTCATCATCCCGGTCTTTGATTGGAAATAAACCTCATTGGTGGGATTTCAGAATGTGGAACCTGCTGTCAGTTCCAAACAATGATCCTGACTCTGCTTCTGTGGTGAATCGAGAGAAACGGACATCGTAACGATAAATGCATAACTGAACCTAAGAGCGTATCCCTCTTGTTGCAAATATTATTAAAGCTCTGTGCCCGAGGCAAGACATGACTAACAACTGCGAAATACGTCATTGGACACAATATCTGGTATCTGTTCTGAGACTTGTTTTTGTATGGCAGTCATGCTAGCCGGCAGTCAGTGAATTCCCAATGTGATAGCCCATTTATGCACGTTTCTTTTTCGAAAAGAGACCTGGGATTAAACACAAAGCCAAGAAGCAATGAGATACAGTTTGGAAATGAAGAAAACACTGGTGTGTCTTCCACTTCATACCATGTGTATACACTTCTGGATTATAATAATTCAACAAACTGTATATGAGTAAGAATGCATAAAAAGCAGGGGTAATTTGTAAGCATGACTCCATAAATCATGGATAGACACAGCTGGCAGAAAATAGCTTCATGTTGTCTGTTGATGTGCCATCATCTCATTTACAATAATTACTGAAACAGAATGAGAGTAGGAGACACATCAACACGCATCTTTATATTATCATCATTCTATGAAAATAAATAATAATGCTCTTCAGTGCCTTATTATTTATTTTGATCGTTCTTATTTTAAAATGTTTGCCATCGCATCAGTGGAAAAACATTAAATTCTCTGTTTGCCTATGACGCAAACGTAAAATTTCCTTTCTTGCAGGCAATCTCATAAGAACCTTAGCATCTTCTGGTTGGCAAACAGACATCGTAACGCTGCCGTCGATGGCTGTTTACTCCGTGATGGCTGCTCTAATCGGTGGCTCCAATACTTAGGGGCGCTCTTTCCCACTTCTAAGTGACGTGACTTTACAAATAAGTAGCGGAGTAGCAAGGCAACACTAGTCAATCCATGGAGCAACCTGACTTCTCAAATAAATTTTACAAAAAAATATATAACTGTGGCAAAAAGTGTATACATTATGGCCTATTAAGCATTAGCAACCGTTTTTACAATGTTATTTAAAACTTCCCATTAAAATTGCTCAGCGATCTGAGCAAGCTGATTAAAATGGCTTGTCAATTTCAGGCAAGGCTGATAATGCCCGCAATCCAACCGCTGAGCCCATCTGGAGCCAAGTAGAGTGAGGGAAGAGGAGAGCCGCGCGAGTTTCGGGATTTCAAACGGCTCCAGTACCAAGAGACACTGAGAGGCAGCAGCAGGCAGCTGTACATTACATGAACGAATTATTTGTGTGGGGAAAGAGCGCTGATTTTGGATATGAAAAAAAACATTCACACCCGGAGTACAAAAGTTTTCCGCAATTAATAGATTACGTCTGGTGGCAATGTTAATAGAAAAAACAGGAGTCCGTTTAGTGTTCTCATTTTACAACCAATATTTATGTTTCTCGGACAAGCCAAACACACAACAAAGTCTATCTGCAGTCAATAACCTGTTTGGAGATAATTATGAGGATAGTAACTCATCTTAAAATGGACACTTTTATCCGGATATGCTCCTAGGTTTTGTTTACTTCATTTAAATTCAGGGCACACGAGCACACGGAATGCAAGTGCCGCACTGTGCGTGGTTGAATTCACTGCGAATTTGATTCAGCGGCGTGGAGAGACTTTGGCTGGTGGGCACTGTGGGGCGGTCCTCGAGAGAAGATGTCTTCACACTCCCACGCCCCTGCTCTGACAAACTCAAGTCACATTGTTGCCACTGCCGCCACCACGAAGACACGAACAGAGCATGCGGTTTATCCACGTGCGAAACGTAAATGCTACCTTTCAATACAGCAAGATTGAATGATTTTGTTGTTGTTGTTGTCGTTAGCTATCTCGGTCCGGTCGATCTTAAGAGACGGTGTAGGCACTGGAATTATTTGCGAACGCCTCTGCTGGTGGAATGTACTCCCCCTACAGGGAGCTCTGGAGAGTAATTTAGTCTCCACTGCCACATTGACCAGATGCTTTTGGCAGAGGAAGGAGTACCCACACTTTGCCCACCACACGTGACGTGCCCACGGACGAACGGTGGCGTTGCCCAATTATACAGCTGGGTATGGCAGAGCGATGGGGCGATTTAGATACTTGCCCCATTATCCATAATAGAGGCTTTTTTGGGGTTTAGATCGCGTAAATATATAAATGTGTCGTTAAACCCGCCACCACCCGACACAGCCAACTAGTAAGGGTTGTCACATAAACAGAACGTCCCAATTCGTCACTAGTACAGCACACAGGTGTGTTGGAGAGCAAATCCTAAACATTTACAAACTGTGTACGACGTTTTGCCAGTAATTACAGCTCGCACCATCAGGCGACAGCCAGATTTGGCCACATTTGGCTGTAACCTGATGATGCTAGTTGTAATTATTGGCGAAACGTCGTACTTGAATTGTAAATGTTGCGTGTTTACTTTCCAACACACCAGTGTGCTGTGCTAATAACAAATTGGCTTTTTTTTACGTCATAAACCTTACTAATTGGCTGTGTCGGGTGCTGGTTTAACGAAACATTTATATTTACGCGATCTAACCCCAAAAAAACCTCTATTATGGATAATATTGATCGCGAAAGCCTATGTTTGGTCCCATTATCTTAGCTGCAACACAAAGAGGTGGAATTGAACTTTGCCCGCCTTTTGATCGCAAGTCGAGTGCGCGAACCATTACAACCACTTCAGATATTGTTTCATTGTTATCGATCATAACATTCATCCAAACTGTAAAATTATTACAAATGTTAGTTTTCACTTGGCACAGTTGTTCTACAAAATGTTCATGCATTTTATGTATACGTATTCAAGTCACATATCATCTATAGTTAATGTAGCCGTTGGGGGAAAGGAAAAAAACATAAATACCAAAGCAATACATCCAATACATCTTACAAATGGCTCATTTTGCAAAAGCTGTGACCTATGATCCAAATAACATCAGAAAAACCTTTTACAAATCGCATCAATTGCCAAGTGGGTAAAATAGCCTGCAGGAATTTGGTGTGAGACACTTAAAAACCTCTAAGGGAGCGGCCCTGATCTTGAGGCTTTATTTTAATCTGAGACTCGGATATCCTGCCGATGCAATGATAGTCGGCTGGCATGGCTCTGATGACACTAACTCCAAATGCCAGCTGCCACGTATGAGTGATAGAATGAAAACTAAATTATCCACTTCAAATAGAGGTGCAAGTGCATATTGCATAAATAGCAGGTGTCTCCAGAGAAGATCGTTCTTCTATGCAATGATTATATTTGTAGGCAACCGTGAACCACAAACATTTAGCAATTTGGTTTTTATTAAAAATCCAATGCCAATTATTTTTTCTCTTAAGCTAATGATCAGAATAATATATCATTTATTATATATACAATTTTACATTTAATATATAACACGCATAGGCCAGAAGATTGCATGTGGAGAAAGTTATAGCTGCATAATAAAGTGACATATATGATTCATTATAATTTAATTGCACTGCAAGTAAAAGTTTGCTTCACAGTATTTTGTGCTGCACAGTGGCCCAGCCATTTGATGATCTTATTGAGAAAAATCAGACCCACTGGCCCTCAGAGAACACGTCACTGCATAACGAGTTACAGTATCTGTACGAGATTTGAGCATTTCAAGCACGCCTTATTAGCCCATATTAGCCCTGTTGGTACAGAAGTACAGTGTTACTCTCGTCATTAAACATCTATCATTCATTAACACACGCCACTTACCAATAGGTAGTTCAATTTCATCATACATTCTTCTATCTTACATATTCATCTAAACAAAACTATTCATTGTAACACGTAGGCTTTCGCGACCAATATATTCACAATAAAGGTTTTTGGGTTAGATCGCGTTATTTATAAATGTGTCGCAACCCTCCACCACCCGACACGGCCAATCAGTAAAAAATGTGTCACGTCGACAAAATTGCCCGATGATGCTGGATGTAATTACCAGCGAAAGGTCATACTCAAAAATTGTAAATGTTGTGGATCCACTCTTCAACACACCGGTGGGCTAAAGTAGTGAACTATTTGTCTTTTGTCAACGTGACACATTTTTTACTGATTGGCCGTGTCGG